AGGTCTACCGTTTCATTGCCTCCCATGCTTTAGCCAGTTTAGCTGTTAGCCTTGTTCAGATGCGTCAAGCTGGTCAGTGGTCACCAGAGATAAACCGGAAATATGCAACTTATGCTCTGAAATAAAACAACAAAAGCTATTTATGGAAATAAATTAGATACTTCGCATGGTTTGTGAGATGGGGCAGCAGTACAATTGCATGTTCTTAATAGATAAGTGTTGTACACGTAAGTAAACATTCTTTAATTTTTTTACTAATAAAAATTTCTCGATATTATAGCTTTTAATTTGCAGACCCAAGCCGGAAGCGTGTTTTGATTGTAATTAGAGCGTGTCTACTTGGCACCAATTAGCTGTTGGCTAACAGTGACGAGAAGGGGTAGAGATCTAAACTGTGCCATCATATTTTACTAGGCGTCTACAAATTACAGCAGCTAAATATGTGAAGAGATTTTAGCGGTATATCAACTTTTGTTCGATAGTTGGTGAGTAGCGTGTTAGTTAGCAAGTCTAGCCTTTTGTGTGTGGAACGGAGGGAGTATGGCTAAAGCAAATCAGCTACTTAGCCTTTGTGACTTCGTGTCATCAAACAAACTGCTAACGTTAACGTTTAATATTTAATAACTACAACGTTATAACTTGTAAACGGGTAAGATGTTGGAACATACAAGCAGTGTTAGCAATAAAGTAATTACCTGTTAAAATGTTGAAGTGACACGAGCACTTTGTGTGTCTAACGTTAAAGCACCTTTTGTTTATCAGATTTGTTAGGTAAAAATGTAGCGTATTTGGTTATAGGGCAAATGATATTCATGTGAAATACGTTTGGGTTAACATTTCCTTTGTCAAATTCAACTGTAGTCACAAGCGTGAAACAAACTTATAAAGCTCATAACAACGTGTACTCTTTGTTACTATATATTGCATTGTACACTTATGATCCGTTCTTTTAAACGTATTTTGTTGGCCAAGTCAAATACGACCAAGCTAAGTGATTAAAGTAGTTATAAATCAGATTGAATAAAGTTTTTTTTTTTTTTTTTAGTAATGGTTGATATGCTAGGGCAACCATTATACAGAACTCAAATCAGTTCTCTCTTTAACAGTTATCTCCTTTGCTCTTTTCAAGGTTGTAATTTTTCCACGATCACAACTGGATGCAGAGACGTCTTCTTTTGTTAGCTCCCAACACTATCTGTGTAGGCCTACACCCTCTTTGCACTCTTGTCAGGTGTCATCAGCTCTTGAAAGTGTTTAGGGTCTTGCCTGTCTTTTCATGCTTTGAACATCTACTTCCACCTGTTCGTGCATTCAGGTTTCCCACGGAAATCTCTAATTTTTCCTCAGCATCGCAGTTTTCCCATAATTTCGTCCAGAATTATCCTCACCAGCATTTCCTGCATCATTGTTTTTCCACTGAGCCAGATATGGCAGATCAGAGGTTCCTTGTGGAATATGCCAAACGTGGTACTGCAGGTTGTAAGAAATGCAAGGACAAAATTCAGAAGGGCATAGTGCGGATAGGGAAGATTGTGCCAAACCCTTTCAGTGAGTCTGCAGGGGAGATGAAAGAGTGGTATCATGTTAAGTGTATATTTGAGAAGCTGGAAAGGGCAAGAGCCACCACGAAGAAGATTGAGGACATCACAGATCTGGAGGGCTGGGAGGAGCTACAGGATGAAGACAAGGATCTCATTAATAAGCACATTTCAGGTACAACAGATTGTGTTTGCATTAACATGTTGGTGAGCGTGTTTAAGTATTATGTGCAGTATATGTAGTCATACATGTGTTTGACAAGTGCATCCATTTTAAAGCTCATTCACTGTTCAGATATGCATCTCAGGTCATATGGTTTCTTATTTGTCCTAAAGCCATTTATTTTGTCTTGTAGACCTGATGGCCAAAGTCAGTTCAAGTCCAAAGAAGAAAGTGCAGGCCAAATTGAACACCTCTGCTCAGCTGATGGCTCCTCCTGCTGATACATCTGTCAACGCTCCACGCAAATTTTCAGGATTCACTGGTAAGATATGACATATAGAATCAAGTAGTTTCTTATTTGTACTAAAGCCATTCACAAAAGAAAAAAGTTATACAATAAGCTGTATGGTTGTACGACAAAAAGTTACACGTGTCTCTGTAAAAGCAAAAAAAAAAAGTTATAAAAGAGACTAATCTAAATAACATGATATAAAAGTGGATGATTAGTGGATTCAGAGATGACAAAATATGTTACCAAGAAAAAGGTTTTTTATTTCTGATTATTCTGTCTTGGAGAAATAGACTTCTAAGACACCATGTCTCAATATCATTTGCATCTACCCCAATGAACCATCTTTTTAATGCTCAGAAACTGCAGACATAAAGATTCAAAATGTACAGCCCAACTTGCAGGTGCAGTTTAGTTAAGTGAGATCTTTATTAGGAAATTATTTTTTGCAGTGAAGTATTATCAAAACATAAATGATACAAACCTAATAAAAAGACAGTAAGACAAATGGAGACATTAAAAGTGTGTGCTGCTCACCAGTTGCTATCTTGACAGTGTTGCCCAGTTTATTCCTGCTTTCCACCTCTGAATTCCCATATTAATAAATCAGTGAGAAGGTCAAGACTGGTTCTGTAAAATGGCACCATCTGAATTTTGTAAACATGAAAAAAATATTTAACCACCACAGAAAATACAGTATCTGATGTCCTTTATTACATATTGCCTCTGATTTTGCATCAGTGTCCAATTACCAGTGTCTACATAGAAGTTGATTGGGACAAGTAAGTAGCAATAGATTGGTGGAACCTATACTGTTCTATACCTCCAGTGACAGTACTGTATAACATCAGTAATGAAGTGAGATATTTAAAGAAAAATGAGTTAAAATATTGAAAAGCAGTTTTCAATTTGAATAGGCAGAGCAAAGGTTATTTGTATGCAGCCTGAGCATCTCAACTAGGACAAAGTCCCTTGTGTCAGATGAATATGGATAGGCATAATTTAGACATAATTCCAAACTACAGTGTAGCTGTTAGCATTTTGTTTATGTATTTTTGAGGATTTTGAGAAATTGCTCACAAGGTTAAAACAAGGCTCAAATTATTTAGAAACCAGATCCTCCCCTCAAAATTGTACATTCTCAAACTAACACATAATCATAATCAGCTGTTAAAATCAGAATAATGTCACCTTGACTTGTTGTTCCTCTGTGAATCCATTTAGAAGCATTTTCTTTGCCAAACTCATTTCCTCACTTGTGTTATCTTCACTCTCCTGTCAGCTGCGAAGGCCAGCACCTCCGGCAGCTCAGGAACACAATCCTCTTCCCCTGCCAAAGCCAGTCAAGGCAGCACCCTCTCTGCACAGCTTTGTGACCCTCAGCATAAGGATTGCCTCTTCAGAGAATATCGCAAACTCTGTGCCACGGTGTCAGAAAACAACAGCTACAATACCAAGACACAGATTATTGAGAAGTTTCTCAAGAAGGGCTCAGGTGGAGGTTGGTCTGTCTGTCCATCTTTCTATTTATTTTTGTGTGTTTATATTGTGTTTAAGGGCTTCAGCATGACAGCATCTGACTAATGCCAAGGCCAGGATTTCTACGATAAAATGTTTCTTAAATATTCTATTCTTCTGTTTCAGATAAATTCCATGGAGATCTTTATCTGACAGTGAAGCTTCTCTTGCCGGGCGTCATAAAAAATGTCTACAACCTCAATGACAAACAGATCGTAAAACTCTTCAGTCGCATATTCAAATGCAACCAGGATGCCATGGTGCGGGATCTGGATCAGGTCTGCTTTCATACATGAACTCTTAAGCACTGTGAATATTCATAAGTACACTGCTTGATTGTTTGATTATTCAAATTAGTTTCATTGATTCCTTTGACTGATAAAGGGGATTTCATTCTTGGCCAGTTACAGTCTCTGACATTGTGTCTTGAAACTGATGATAAACAATCAAAAATAACACAAGTAAAATACAATTGGTGTTTTTGTTTTTAAGGGTGATGTGTCTGAGACAGTGAGGTTGTTCTTCGAGGAGAGTAAATCATTTCTTCCGGCTGCCAAGAGTCTCCTGACCATCCAGGAAGTGGACGCATGCTTGACCCGTCTTGCCCAGCTGACCAAGGAGGATGAGCAGCAGACTGAACTGGAGGATATTGCCAAAAAGTAATCCAGTACAACATAATTTTTATACTAATTAGGCTGGGTAAAGCATCACAGATAAAGTAATTCAGTGACGTCATTAGCATTGAAGACCTGCTCTTTTAAAAACAGCTCTTCTTAGCGCATCCAAAAGCAACACAGTCATTCATGTTTCAGGAATTCAGAAATAACCTTGGTTGTTGAAACACAACAGAATGATGGAGACTTAGTGATGTTCACTCAAGAAAACATTACAATACTACTAACAGCAGCCGTTATGACTGAACTTTGTTTTTTGTAGCTGTACCTCTCCACAATGTCCGCATTTTGGTGCTAGACCTGTCAGTCAGTGTTCAAGTCAGATTTAGTGATTTCCTTTCACTGTATTCGTAAATGGTGCAATTATTTGTTCCAACGTGTTTTGCTTGCACAGCTTTTTTATTGTTAATGTTTTTTGTTTTTGCAGTTTTCAGTTCTCTAAAGATTTGTCTGCCTTAGGCATGCCTAACACACACATACTCGACAGCTTGATTTGACATTCTACCCTCCATTGCTGCAGACGTCAGAGTGGGACTGTTTATTTGTCATAAATTGCATGTTGCTAGCTGTAAACTGAGAGAAGCATTATTTTGTTCTGTACTAAACAAAAGGTCTACTTGTGTTATGTGGCACTGACAGGCCAAAGCAAGCCACATGAATTATTACTGTCAGTCTTAAACGTTAGTCTTCAAAATATTTACTACAGCTGTATTATTGCTTTAAACCCTTTCAGGTCATAAACATTTTGATTTCTGCTTTATAAAGTGCTGTAACACTGGAGCACCTCACAGGTTTTACCCCAGTGCTAATCTGCATTTTCCCTTCATTAGATGCACCAGTAATGACCTGAAATGCATCATTCGACTTATCAAACATGATTTGAAGATGAATGCTGGTGCAAAACATGTGTAAGTGTTGACTTCTGCCCAGAGGTTAATATGCACTATGTTCTTTCAATACTTTTAAGAAAAGGTTTATTTTCATACCAACCTTGAACTAGTTTTTTGTTATTTCCCCTTTATGCAGCTTGGATGCTGTGGATCCGAACGCTTACGATGCCTTCAGGGCCTCACGTAATCTGGGTGATGTGATTGATCGGGTGTTGAGGAATCAGCAGGAGGCATCCAGTGGTTCAGGACCCAGGAAACTCCTCACTGTTGAGGCATCACTCATGACCCCCGTTCAGCCTATGTTGGTAAGTACCACAGAAATGTTAAAAATGTACTTTATACACTCACAGTCTTGTTTTCAACCATTCTCCCTAATTTTGCTCTCTAGTCTTTATGTGACTGAATCAAGTCTGACTTGTCTGAACCACGATGATTTAAAGAAATTACATTTTTAAAGAATGAGTGAATTTAGCTTAAATAGAGAAGAGTCTGTTCATATACATTCAGAAAATATCTAAGCCAAGTCAAATACATTTTAAAATAAAATGAAAATCATGCTGCCAAAACATTGATGACTCCTTCTGTTTTTACTTGAATAGGTATTAGTATGATTTTCGTGATTTTACTAATTACTTATATATTTGTGCTCATACAAAATGAATCAAATGAACATGTTGTAACCTCAAAGGAATGGTCTCATTTAACTTCTTAATGATTATACATTATGTATCCAGTTCAATACTACTCTAATCCATTTTTGGTTCGGTATGCAGTATAAGCTTCTGTTTTTCTACAAAGCCTCTTCCGGCTCTTTTAAACCAGGAACTCACAAAAAGATGAAGTACACCACTTTAGATTTTATAAAAAATAACCGTACTGGTTTATTCAGAGGATCACAGGTAAAATTAACATTACACGTCCAGATCTCTCCCACCACCAACCCGCGCGCAGGCAGCTTGGAAGATGAAAAAAAACAAAAAAAACCCTGGACTATAAAACCTATATAATTTTAATCATTTTGGGCTAGTCCCATACTACGCAGGGACGTCAAACCGTGACGTCACCTGATATGCCAGCTTGCAGCTGACCATAACGTTAGTCAAAACATGAGGAAAAGTCAAGGTGTGTGGCTGTTGTTTTTGTGGTGTGTATCTAGAACAATTTGACATGACATTACACATTAAGACAAATATTAAGATTAGCATTACAGTTAATACTAACAGCTCTTTGCCTGCAACCTTGGCCTACATGCAGTTTGCAAGCACATGAAATTAAACTGAGCAGTTAACAGCCTGAGCTAGACATCCTGTCTCCACTAAACATTTCTAGACACCAAATCTCTGAATATCTATCTAACTAAGAAATAACCTAACAGCAGGTTATCTGAAAATAAAACAAGTAAATTAGAAACAGATTTCTGATAAAGTCAGTAATTGTTGTTTTATCACCTGAGGTTAATCAAAGAGAACGGGATAGAAATAAGACATGACCTTCTGACCTGTAGAAGTCATTTTAATAGGATGTCTTTGTCTTAATACCAAAGGCACAATTATGCTTCTTGCTCAAAGGCTTCATATAGATTTTGACACTTTTGTTATGCAGGAAAAACATTAAGATAAGACAAATGTTTTCACTCAGTTCACCAGAGTCAGGTATTCCTTTTATAGCAGCTGTACTTGGCAAAAATATATTTTTGTCCAGTTAAGATTTGGATGACCATATATGTTGTCTGAACAAAGCAAGCATGAAATTGAGTAATGAAGAATATGGGCATAGACTCATTATTTTTGTGTTTTGACCTGTGATATGACAACACTGTACTTATCAAACAAACAGCCCGAATAGAGGTAAAACAGCATGTGGGCATCACTGATAATCTCTTATGGCACAGGAAAACTCTGTGAATACATTATTACCTTTAATACTATATTACAAGAGTCTAATTAATATCAGTATTATTCTTTAAGTGGAGCTACAAGTTTTCAGTAATGTTAAACACATACTTTTGCAACTTGAGCAACTCTAGAAAAGCTTGGATGAAAAATAATTACACAGAATTTGGTTAGCTGCTGAGAGCTTTGTAAATGATTTTTTTCTTTTATGATTTCAGGCAGAAGCATGTAAATCTGTGGAGTACGCCATGAAGAAATGCCCCAAAGGAATGTACTCTGAGATTAAGTATGATGGAGAACGTGTGCAGGTCCATAAGAACGGAGACAACTTCAGCTACTTCAGTCGCAGCCTCAAACCAGTGTTGCCCCACAATCAAAACATTTCCTTTTTTTCAACACTGATATGATCAGTGCATGCTTACAGATTCACACACACACACAGAGTTTATGTTTCGTAGTCCATGGGGACTTTACATTGACTTGCATGCATTTACTGTAGACTAACCCTAACCTTAACCAGAACCACTACTTGCCTAACCCTAACCCTGACCCTAACCTTAACCTAACCCTAACCTCATCCTAACCCTAAACCATGTTGCCACCCTAAAATTCAATTTCTTGCCCATGGGGACCTCAATTTAGGTCCCCACCGTGAAATGGGTCCTCATGAGTTGGTATGGAGTCGGGAAGAAGTCCCCACATAGCAGGAAAAACACGTCCACACACACACGTACAATACAAAAGCACACTGCCACAAAGCCCATGAAGTTATGTATAGATTAATCTGACAATGCATGTCAGAACAGAATGCCCTCAGGTTTCTCCGCTGCAGGATTAGTTCCTCAGAGGTATTTTTCCACCATGAAATTCATAGTGATTTTTCCAGTATTTGCTTTCTCAGCATGCTGCTTCAACCATGCAGAGATAAATAGCTCCGCATCCTGTTCATTAGCTGTTTTTAAACCTCTAAAGGGTGCAGGTTTGCACACAATCCATAGTTCCAAGAAACATTGAATCTCAGTAAAATTATGTGAAGAACACTAAGCATTAAGGTAAAAGGGAAAAAAGCCCTCAAGATATACTGGATGAGGATATGTACTGTACAGGCCAAATGCCTCAACACATCAAGGTGCTCATGGCTTTTTAAAAGTAGAAGTCTGCTTTTTCAAGCTGATCACATGGAGGATCATCATTTGGTTTCCCAGTTTCTGAGCGAGTGGTCTTTGTGGTTTGTGTTCAGCTGTGGCCCAGTTTTAGCCTTCAAGCCTGAATGGTTACAGACATGTTCTCTGGAACTGCCCTGGCCATGCTGGCCATCAACCAAGTGGTACCCTCATCGACAGTAATTAGGCATTTTATATTAATGTTAGGTTAACATTCTTTTAGTTGTCTTTAAAAAAAAAAAAACCCAAAAGAAAACCTGGGGCCATGCCACGCTCAGGTTTTGCTGTAATATTTGTTTCAGATGTGTCCTGTTTCTGTTCGGTGCCTAAGACCTGTGTGTCTGTCCATGTTGATGTTTCAGGTGGCCCATTTCAAAGACTACATTCCTCAGGCTTTTCCCGGTGGCCACAGTATGATACTGGATGCTGAAGTCCTCCTAATTGACACAAAGACCAGTAAACCACTGCCCTTTGGGACCTTGGGAGTACACAAGGTGAGAACACGAAGGCCAGTTCGTACTTTTTGACAACATGGAATTTGTCACACAGCTTGCTTTTTGACCAGTCATTGCTGTCACACTTTTCCGCTCCCTTCAGAAAGCAGCCTTTCAAGATGCCAACGTGTGCCTTTTTGTTTTCGACTGTATCTACTTCAATGGCGTGAGCCTCATGGAGAGGTAATGTTTTCACTCCATCCATTGTCTTAAAATCTTCTTTGCATTCCACTGCACTAAATATAACCCCTGATGGAAACAATGGAAGCATGTACTTTTAAATATGATTAGTCCAAAACCTTGACGAACACTTCTCAACCAAAGCATTCCCTTTGTCTTTGTGGTTTACTGCTCTGTGAATGTGCACCTCTTTTCCCAAACCCATGTTTTCTTAGTTTCCATATAAAGACAAAAACTAAAGCCCTTTCACATATTATACTTTAGTTGGCCTGTATTTTTTCCACTCTTGTTCTTATTTTTTAAATGTATTTTTAACATCTAGTTTTGCCACAGGCTTAGTTGGCAACAGTAACTATAGCTATAGCATAACAAGCTGTCTTACATCAGTCCACTGGCATCATATTCTCCAGGCCTCTGTGTGAACGCAGGAAGCTCCTGCAAGACAACATGGTGGAAGTCCCCAACAGGATTCTGTTTTCAGAGATGAAACACATCACTGTAAGTAAACCTCTGAATTTTGGGTTTCTGCAGTATGCAAACATCTGCAACAGCTGAGTGCAGCAAGGATAGCACTTCATGCTCTATTCTTGTGTTTGTCAGAGGGCAGGAGACCTAGCTGATATGATAACTCGTGTCATCAGAGAGGGACTCGAAGGCCTGGTACTGAAAGACATAAAAGTGAGTTGCTTTAATGTTAATAACATCTCTAAATTGAATGAAACTGATAATCTAATGTAAACTATCTATCCTCACAATGGACCTCAACTATTTGTACAGAAAATATAATACAGAAAATCAAGGATTATGAGTAATATTTAACATATTTAGTTGTTAGCAAATACTTTAAAATATTCTTAAGACAGGGAAATCAAACTAATATAAGCTATACTATATGTCATATCTGCTACAGTGCCAACAGTAAAAAATGTGAACATAACAATCAAGTTAATTATAGCCATAGCTGAAAGATTATGATGATTTGAGCTGCATATCTGTGTCTCAGGGCACCTATGAACCAGGGAAGCGCCACTGGTTGAAAGTGAAGAAGGACTATTTGAATGAAGGCGCAATGGCAGACACAGCTGACCTGGTCGTGCTGGGGGCCTTCTATGGAAAAGGCTCAAATGGTCTGTAAAGCCCTAACCATCCACTACAGTACATTGTACTTGCAGAATTGGAGTCTTTCCCAGTCCCCAGTGCTTTATCATGCCTGCTCTGACAGTTTTAGTGCCCTTTTGTCTATGCTTAAGCACTTCCTGTAAGATGAGGTGTGTGACTCTGGGGACACCCAAATTAGCTAACCAAGACAGCTTTACTATTACTGTTAATTTTTAATAAGGCTATGGAAATTCTTTTAATGATCAGGGGGACCATTTTGCAAACAGTGTTCAAGTTTCTGAAGCACACACACACACACACTTAAAATGAACAGGCCTTCTACAGTACAGTATGATTTGGTGTGAGAGGACTAATGACAAGGTGTTCTTTCACCCACCAGGGGGCATCATGTCCAGTTTTCTAATGGGCTGTTATGACCCGGACTCCAAGAAATGGTGCACAGTCACCAAGTGCTCCGGAGGCTATGACGACGCCACCTTGGCCAGGCTCCAGAAGGAGCTGGATGTGATCAAAATCAGCAAGGTCTGAGAGAATCCACTCAAGAGGCTTGCCTTTTACATTGAAGTGGTTTAATGAAACTGTGTTTTGTGTAGGACCCAAGCAAAATCCCAGGCTGGTTGAAAATCATCAAGAACTATTATCCAGATTTCATTATCCGTGATCCTGAGGTGAGACTGTACTATTCAGCACATTTCTATTTCCCAGTGGGCTTGTACATACATACACAGCCTTGCTGTACATATAGATACTGCAGACCATTAAGTAGTAAGTTAAAAGCATCTCTTGCATGTCTTCTGCAGAAATAATTTACTCTTGTATGTATTGAGCTAATTCATGCTGCTGATTAAAACTATTTTGGTTTGAAATTTGGCTGAAAACAGAACTTGGTAATAAAACTTACAAACTAATAATAGTCTTATTTTCCATCTGATCAGAAGTTAGAATTGTCCTTTGTCCACCTAATGGAAAATCAGCCATACTTGCCTTGTCTGTTGTGTTTCACCTTCTGCTGCTGCAGCAAGCACCGATCTGGGAGATCACAGGCGCTGAGTTTTCCAAATCAGAAATGCACACCGCTGATGGCATCTCCATCCGCTTTCCTCGCATGACTCGCATCCGTGATGACAAGGACTGGAAGAGCGCCACCAACTTGCACCAGCTTAGGGTAAGACATATCAGCACCTTGATAGTGAGATTGTGTATTGTTAATAATGTATAGTAAGATACTGTTGAAGACATGACTTTTAGAGTAGGAATGATGGTACCATGATCACATAATCATTAGGTTTTAAAGAGATCACAATCACAAAATATGCTGCTGGAATTAGTTACTGATTTGATTATAAATACCAAAAGTGTGTGTCCTGGGAAGCAACCATGACACTTACCTAAGTTAAGTATGATTTAAATGCTGAGGACCACATTTGTAGTCAGCATCCTGCAGACACTGACACAAGTCGAAATATTGGCTGAGGCAGTAAAACATGTCTGCGTTAAATTATCTGAAACCAACGCAGGTCTTCAATCTCTCATAGCACAAAACATACATCTCTTGGCTGAAGCCCATGTTATCATTTAATTTCTGTTTAGGAGCTGTACCGCATTTCTAAGGAGAACTGTGACTTTCAAGTGACAGCTGGACCATCTACATCCAATGATGATAAGGGCTCATCAGGAGGGGACAGCGGAGGAAACTCCCCATCGTCGTCATCCCGTGGAGGTGGTCCTCCCAAGAAGGCCGGTAAGTACACATACCACCGACTTATCGGATGAGAATGAGAACAGTTTGACACAATTTTTAGTGTCTCCATGCTTTTGAACTGCTCACTTTGTTCAAAAACCTACTATCATATAAACAAAGCTAAGCACCTAATCCTCACATTTGAGGAGTTTGGCCATTTTTGCGTGAACATGGATTCAGAACCATCTTTAATTATCCAAACTGTTGTAGATTAAATTTCTGCCATAAATGGATTGTTTATCTTAGTGCCGGATCAGCCTGAATGTAAATTTTTGCCTTTTCATTATGGAGATTTGACCACGGGAGTGTTTTACAGTCTGTGTATCAAAGTACAGATGTTAGCTAGCTATGTAAGAGCAGAAACTTGAATTATGTTATCTGCCTATAGACGACTTTTTCCTGTCATTGTATATTCATGAAATGGAGTAAAAGCCTAAGGACAAATACTAAGCTGAAACATCTTCACCTTCATTGGCTACACCTTCAGTAATGTCAATATGCTCTCCTCATTTACATTCCATTTAAAAAACGGTTCAGGCACAGATCAGATTTCAGTAAGGACACAGTCACAGAAATGTGAAATGTATGGTGTTATTGTACAGTGGAATGCAGATCAAATGGCAAATTTAATGGGGCCTGTAATGCAGAGAGACAGGTGTTTGTTGAACCAGTAAAATGAGATCCCAGTGTGATGTGACTGAGCACTGCAATGCTACTTTATTTGATATAACAGCAAATAACGTGTTCACTTTACAGGCAACAGTATTTCACCCAAACCCAAGGTGATGAAATCCCAGTCTCGTACTCCTGGATCAGAAACACCTAGTGCCAAGAAGGTATTGTCTGTTCTGCACAGTATACAGTATGTTCACAGGGCAGATGTCATTACAGTAATCCTGTCAGACAGTTGTGAAACTGTGAGCTGCACAGGCTAAATGTCATGCTGTAGTGATGAGCTGACTGTTTATCACAAGGTGAAGAAGAATGAAAATGTTCACAGCAATGGACAAAGCAAAACAAAGGCAACCTCTCAACTGCTGGAGCCAAGGAATGACAAGGTTGGTAAATTACAAGTGTCACTTCATTTAACTATGAGCCAACAAGTGAATGCGTCTCTAGTACAATGTCTGTTGAAGCCATGGTGCTCTAAAAAAAAGGAGATAAATAAATTTAGTGTAAAATATATATACACACACATTCTGCTGTCTTTAGTGTTTAATGGCATTTTATTCTACAGCTATATACAGCTCTTCAAAGATAACATCTCTAAAAATTGGAGGATTTTATCTCATAATTATGAGATGATACAGGAGTTAGTATGTTGCAGAACTTGCTAGAAAATCCTAAAGCTCAACAGATTTTTTTAGTATCAGAGTAAGTCAGTTGTAGTTGTCAGTACATCCAATAGTGCATAGCAAAATTAAACTGTTGATACCTAATTTGCCATGCTTAGTGTTCCAACATGAACTCAAACACAGGCTTGAAAAGGGCGTCAAAGTTCCTGCCTACGGTGTAACTTACATGTACTGAGCAGGAGTTGGAAAGCTTCAGAACCTGCTTGAGAAAGTTTTTCGTCAGTGTTAATGTAATTCTGTCAGTACATAAAATAACACATAGCAAAAATGAACCATTAATGGCTAATTCGGTATACATGGTGTTCAAAAATGTAAACAATTATAGGATAAAAACTCCCACAGTAACTCTTTATGGCAGCATTATACTTGCTGTTTCTTGTAAAAGTATGATCAATTCACATGAGTGATTTAATGTGACATTTTCCAAAATACTGTGCAAAAATAAATGAATAAAATAACCCATAGCCTATCACCAATCTCATAATTATGACAAAGCATTTGTTTATGTTTAGAACACTAAGTATGCCAAATTAACTATTACCAGTTCACTTTTGCTATGCACTGTTGGATATACTGACAACTCTCACTGGATTACCTTGACACTAAAGAATTTGTTAACCTGATGATTTTAAGGCATGTTCTGCAGCATCCCAACCCCTGCTTTATCTCATAATTACAAGAAAAGATCTTGTAATTATGAGATAGTAAATCTTAATTACATGATAAGATCCTCCAATTTTTTTCCCCCTCTGGTGATTGCAATGCACTTTCATACTATTGACTGTGATTAAAGGAAAGCCTGGTTATTTTCTATATTAACAGTATTTTCAACAATTCCCTTGACAGAGACTAAAACCAACAACGAGCTGCCTCTTGTCAGTCGATGTCTGTCTTCAACCTATTCGTCCATTTGTTGTTTAGAAACAATTAAAACCATCAGTGAAGCTTTCTGCTGCACTGGGTGACATGTTTCCTCATTCTGAAACACCAGACTCGCATATTTTAGTCTCTGTATAGAGATTGTCAAAAAATACTATTAATATAGAAAATACTTTATTACTTATCCCTTTAATAACAAATTCATAAATTTCAGTTTTGGTCAGTCAGGTTAAAGCCCCAAAAATGTAAGTTGCACTAAGATTAATGTAAAGAACTGCTTTTAAACAGTTTCCTATTATTGCCATTTTAATGCTTATGTTTTACAAACCCGATTCCAAAAAGTTGGGACACTGTACAAAATGTGAATAAAAACAGAATGCAATGATGTGGAAGGTTGAAATTCCAGTATTGTATTCAGAATAGAATATAGATAACATATCAAATGTTGAAAGTGAGACATTTTGAAATGTCATGCCAAATATTGGCTCATCTTGGATTTCATGGGAGCTACACATTCCAAAAACGTTGGGACAGGTAGCAATAAGATGCCGGAAAAGTTAAATGTACATATAAGGAACAGCTGGAGGACCAATTTGCATCTTATCAGGTCAATTGGCAACATGATTGGGTATAAAAAGAGCCTCTCAGAGTGGCAGTGTCTCTCAGAAGTCAAGATGGGCAGAGGATCACCAATTTCCCCCAATGCTGCGGCGAAAAATAGTGAAGCAATATCAGAAAGGAGTTTCTCAGAGAAGAATTGCAAAGAGTGTGAAGTTATCATCAGCTACAGTGCATAATATCATCCAAAAATTCAGAGAATCTGGAACAATCTCCGTGCGTAAGGGTCAAGGCCGGAAAACCATACTGGATGCCCTTAGACAGCACTGCATCACATACAGGCATGCTACTGTAATGGAAATCACAACATGGGCTCAGGAATACTTCCAGAAAACATTGTCGGTGAACACAATCTGCCGTGCTATTCACCGTTGCCGGCTAAAACTCTATAGGTCGAAAAAGAAGCCGTATCTAAACATGATCCAAAAGCGCAGGCGTTTTCTCTCGGCCAAGGCTCATTTAAAATGCACTGTGGCAAAGTGGAAAACTGTTCTGTGGTCATACGAATCAAGAGTTGAAATTCTTTTTGGAAAACTGGGACGCCATGTCATCCGAACTAAAGAGGACAAGGACAACCCAAGTTGTTATCAGCGCTCGGTTCAGAAGCCTGCATCTCTGATGGTATGGGGTTGCATGAGTGCGTGTGGCATGGGCAGCTTACACATCTGGAAAGGCACCATCAATGCTGAAAGGTATGTCCAAGTTCTAGAACAACATATGCTCCCATCCAGACGTCGTCTCTTTCAGGGAAGACCTTGCATCTTCCAACAGGACAATGCCAGACCACATACTGCATCAATTACAACATCATGGCTGCGTAGAAGAAGGATCCGGGTGCTGAAATGGCCAGCCTGCAATCAGATCTGTCACCCATAGAAAACATTTGGCGCATCATAAAGAGGAAGATGCGACAAAGAAGACCTAAGACAGTTGAACAACTGGAAGCCTGTATTAGACAAGAATGGGACAACATTCCTATTCCTAAACTTGAGCAACTTGTCTCCTCAGTCCCCAGACGTTTGCAGACTGTGATAAAAAGAAGAGGGGATTCCACACAGTGGTGAACATGGCCTTGTCCCAACTTTTTTGAGATGTGTTGATGCCATGAAATTTAAAATCACCTTATTTTTCCCTTAAAATGATGCATTTTCCCAGTTTGAACATTTGATGTGTCATCGATATTGAAATTTGAAACTTCCACATCATTGCATTCTGTTTTTATTCACATTTTGTACAGTGTCCCAACTTTTTTGGATTCGGGTTTGTATGCAACTTTTGGATTCTAGTAACACACACTAAGGATTTTTAACAATTAGTCGCAGTGCTACACCGCCACACAGCCACATCCTATAGCCAGTTGGGTAACTAATTTTGTATTTGCCTGTGGTAATTGCATTACCACAGGCACAGGTAAATTATCCAAATAAACACAGGTGTCCTCTTGTAATTTTGTTAAGTAAATGCTGTGCAGCATAAACAACTTCAAATGGGGGAAAACATGTAGTGAAAGTATGACTGAAGGGTGTCTCATCTGCCGACCTTGTTTTCCCCCTGTAGACACTGTTGGACATCTTCAGTGGGGTGAAGCTCTTCCTGCCGGTCTCAGTACAGGACTTTGACAAACTGAGACGCTACTTTGTGGCATATGATGGAGACCTTGTACCAGACTATGAAGCTACCACGGCCACACATACTCTGGCTGAACCTGAAGACGACAGCCAGGCCCAGAGAGTTACACCTGGCTGGATCTGGGAATGTATCCGCAAGAGGCGTGTTGTTCCTCCCTGTTAAGTGGAGAATAAAAACAAAAAAAAAATTTACTATACTGTGTTCACCTGTGTATAAACCTCATCAGTGTACCTAAATGTGTGGCACTACATGAACACTGTTGACCTTTAGAATTTGGGGAGTCTGTCATTTTTATTTATTTTTCCATGCCTTTTCTGTTTTCTATATACATATACTATCATTTTATTTTTGGAGCTTTACTTTTTTTACAATTAAGGGCAGTTGTCAATACTTGTGAAGGATGTAGTCAGTTTACTGATGACATTCTTGATGAAATTAGTTATGGTTAAGAAACAAGTGTGCTGTAGATGCAGTGTTTTCCCCTTAAATCATGAAATACATTTTACAAAGACATCATGTAACAAAGCACAGTACGGACTTAAAGTAAATTCTCTTGATTTATATTATTTTTACTGCCATAGCAAAACTTTTTGTGAGGTATAAAACCCCAGCTCATGAACTGAGTATAACCAAATTTGTTTGGTGTTAGGAAAAACAAACTGATAGATAATAAAAATGTCTCTGGAACATCATTCTAATGCTATTTATCTCCTTCAATATGTGCTGCAGCCACTTGCAGGAACAGTGGTGCTATTACAAATATGACATCAATGGATTTCTGGCTCACTGCCTGCTCAAACTACTGACTTCTTGTCAATGACTTAAAAAAAGATGCTGTTTTGTTTTGTGTTACACAATTTACTGAGATCAGCCACTAGTTGTTTTAAAAGGCTTTTCTGTTCCTTCAACACTGATTCTAACTCATGACACTCAAACTGATGAGATGGTGAAAGGTTTTAACTGTAGCCTGCTGCTTCTGAATGGTTTAATGATAATTCTGATTTCTTGCTGTACATGTCTGAAAGATCAACAGTGCCAAGACTGAGTTATGCTTCTTTCTTTTCAAGCATAACACTCAGAATATACTGCAACCCCCTAGGGACTACAGTATATCCAGAGAGGTTCACTGACTGTACTGCACTCCAAAAAGACTGGAGAATAATGAAAGTGAACTCAAATTGAACCAAAGTTTGACATACTGTCTGTCTGGCTGCTAGAGAAAGACTTTACACTGTGAAAATGTTCAGTGGTATATTTGCTGTTTGCTGAAAGGAAAACTACTGTAGCTGCTACTTGTAGCCATTATGGGTAGCTCATAGTAAAGGTTTGTATCAATAAGTTAGTACCTAAACACTTGGTGTTGGGTTACAGGTGAGAACAGTTCAGATTTAAAGCCTTTTATGGAAACCCAGAGTGTTCAATAATAAATAACATTGAAATTAATAATCATATGAATAAATTGTGTAAAATATATATTTGCACAATCAAATTGTGAAATTCAAGAAATATTAAAACTTAAGTCATTATTTTGAAATGGTATTTCATCATTCTTAATAGAGTTTTAGGGGTTATTTTTATTGTGATTATGGACATTATTATTTCAATGTGCTATTTTTTAAAGGCCATGATAGGAATCTGTATAGATGTGCATTTTAATTGGAGGACTGATTTCACAAAAACTGCACGTTAACCTAATGCATTCAAATTATTACCAAGTAGATACAATTATGCAAAAAAGTATGTATCTTAGTAGGAAAAAAATACAGATAGAATGTAGCAAAATGCAGCACAACTCATGTTACCAGTAGGAATTCTGACCATCGACATATCCACCGATCAGGCAAAACACTACAGCCACTGTGGCACTCTGGCAACAAATTAAACAGCTTTTCTTTAAGTAAAAGTTGAATGATTTTACTTACTAGTGCATGACCTCAGAAACAATGATGTCTTATTTTCATATCATATCCAATGATCACCAGTTATTCATAAACACTTTAACCTAACAAATTCGTTGGATGATGGTACGAATGTCTGGAAGGAATGATTTGGAAGCCATAAGGACAGAACCTGAAAGCAGTGTTGACCTCATAAAGCAAATGTCACTGAATCATATTTCACTTTATCCTGTCATAGGTTGTATTAAATAAGCTTCTGTTATTTGGACAATGTGTTAACTTATTTATTGTAGGCACTGTAAAAATTCTGAATGTTAAAAAAAAGTAAAAGACGTTCTCTCAGATTTATCTTTCCAGCCACTGCTGTATGATCAGTTCAACCAAAGATTCTTTTCTCTCTCTTATTTAGGTAGTTTTCAGAGAGATAAAGGTGTCCAGTTACTCACATGAAACAAATCTAAGACTAAAGGCTAAGTCTGGCAAGCCTTCAGATTTATAACAACTACTTTAGAGGATGACTAAGAGCATGTTCTGTGTGTACATTTACTGCAGAAGAAGTCTTACTGTCATCGTCTTCCCTCCAGCTCCCCTGCATGTCGTACTCCTGTTCCAGGGTCGGTGGCTCTGAGGGGGTCAGATGCTCCAGCTCAGGACACTTCATCCATTCATGATACCTGAAGAGGTAAACAGGTGGATAAGACACAGGGACTGCAGGTTTCTACAGCTTTAACTTATTCATGTATCCAGATGTCAAAGGGCTGAAGCTGGTTCTGCTGTGTCAGTCAAAGAGACTTCAAACTGTCAAAGGATCAAAAACTTGTATTGACAGCTGGGTCAGATGTGTCACCTGTCCTAAGTTATTTCTTTCAAATGCTCCATGACAATTGAGACTGTATGATACAATCGAAAGCTCCAGAAAAGCTACTAAATGGAACTTGTGATGAGATTGTTTTCTCAACGTTATTATTAGTTGCAGACTTATTTACAAGTCACAATAAAACCCATCCGCCATGTTTAAACATTGATAGTATATAAATGACATTTAAACACTCATCACTAAAGATATCAGCAGAGGAAAATAAAAGAACACAGTGACAGGCTTCTCGTGTGTAACAAGACTGATCAGGTGTTAATGTTAACGTTACCTGGTCACGTGGTTTGCATTGTAAGGAACCAACACAACTTTGTGTCCCTCCAGTAGAGTGTTCTTGTTTATCTTCATGGTGCCAAACCAGACACAAACACCAATAGGACCGATTATAACAATAAACTAAATTCAACCATTCTACGTTCCATTAATACATTATAACATTAATACCGAATCACATGATTGAGATCATTCTGAAATCATTCCCACAGATGTATTAAGCAACGGAGTAACACACACACACAGACAGAGGTTGGTCTGCCTTCAAAATGTATCTGTCAGATGTCAGTAAAAAATTATTTATTCTTTTAGAACTTTAGGTCATTTAATTTACACAACTCACTGTGGGATTAAGCCTTCCACTGTTTTAGGAATGCTCTCAAGTTCTCACCTTCTTCTGATGATGAAGTTCAACTCCCAACTTCAGTTTTTCATTTCCATAATTATTCAGCATTGCATCTCAGCCTTCAGCTGTTTCAGCAATGGATTTCAGCCATTTCAACATATTCAGGGCAATTCTTCAGCAGTCAGCATCCACACGCATTTTCTTCAGGAAATGCATCTGTCTAGTTACTAGTTAAGATCTACCATTTTATCTGCAGGATACTTTAGGCTATGAGGAGGCTGAATTAAATGTATGAATGTATTGAAGCTCAAATGGAGCAAAATTCATATTAACCTGCTCTGCCGTCACTGAGGGGCCTGAAAGCTTTCTTACCTCTGTAAGCCTGGTACAAATCTCAGGCTGAGGCTGCAGCCGACAACTGACAGAGCACCCTAAAAGAATATACTGCCAGACTCATCTAAATGGATCGACTTACAAATTGTAGCAATAATCTTTTTTCATTTGGAATTAAGTTTAGCAGTTTTTTGCAATTATCACATTTTTGCATGGGGCTTCAAAACATGATGCAGTTTCTTGCAAAGTTGGTGCCAAAACATTCACATAACTTCGATCAGACATTTATGCAGAGGATTAGTTCTCATCAGGTCTCCTCCAGTTTTCGTTTCCCTGAGGATCCTTCTTTAGAGCGACTCCACCACTGCAAGTCAAACTCTTCTTTGATGCGACAAGCCTAAGAAGGGGTGCAGACAACAGTTTTGATTTAGATCTAGGTTCAAAAACAAAACCTGGTTTGTTATATCTGATGGACCTCTTTCATAACTTCAACACAGAAAATGGATAATTAATGCCTTTGTGGAGAGCTATTTATGTGAGGGAGTAAAGAATGTACAAGAGCTTTCAGCAACAATAGCAATTTTCTCTTGTTATTAATACCCAGTAGCTGTCTACCGGTGCGTTTGCTGAACTGTCAACACATTCTGGTGTTTTGACTAACATAAACCCTGTGCACTGTTGTTTTTCCTGACATGTAATTTCAGTAATTATAAAAAGAACCAAGCTGTTTTGTAAGATTTGAAGAGAAGCCTTCTGATGCCTCTTTTTTGTCTCAGTGAAAGTGTAGAACCTGTACCGTTATTGTAATGGAAAAATAAAAACTCAAAAATCCCATAAACTATCTGAAGGAAATAAATGTGTGTTGGGAGGTTTTAGCTCCTAAAAAAAAAATCATGTATACTTTACATTTTTCCATGACAAAATGGATTTACTCAAATTTCAAGAGACATATTGTCTTATACAATAGATTTTAGAATGTATAAAAAAACTGAAGAAAGGGCTAAGACATTTTTCATGAGCATTAATTACCCTTTAGGTCTGAACAAGGCTCCAAACAGCAGCCAGGGGCAACTGAAAATAACTTCACTAATGAGAGAGCCTGCCTAAGTATGCTTAGGTTTTATAGAGGTCAGGCTTTTAGGACAGCACTAGTATCTATATCAGCAGATTGAGACAATTTTCTGTAACAGCCTGTCTTTATGAATTGAGATTGATGAGAAGTCTATTTTCCTTATGAAAAAGTTGATGGAAATTGTTTTTAAAATGAAATAAAGACTTTCTTTATCAAATCAGACCTTTTTTAAATGAGCAAACAACTTCAGAGTCTCCATTTTAACAAGACCAACATTTACTGCTCAACAAAACTCCTCTGACGGAATCAGTACTGCAGATGGCATGAGAATCAGTGCCATAGGAAGTACCTGTCTGGAAGACTTGATCAGTGTTGCAGAGCGAAAACTGGAGCAGCTGACTGACCCAGCCCCCTCTACTCGCTCCAGCAGGACCCTGGTTCTGGGGATGTGACTCCATGATACGCCCAGGCCTGGCCGTACCTCCCCGTTGTCACTTCTTGTTACATGGTTTGTTACCTGCAGGCCCAGGCACCATAGTGTTTAGTTTTCAGTTTCTTTCTCTCTCATTTTCAGGGGATTATCACACCATTTCTTCATTCTGTCTAATAGTTAAGTATAGCTTTCAAGAGATAAACTTTAGAAGAAAGGAAAAATATGGGACAGACTGATTATCCCACTTTTAAATCAAATGGGATCAACAAACAAGCTATCAAATCATTTTTATCTCACTTCAAATAACTTCATGATCTGAGGTGAAACTGTCTTTGGCACATGCTATTTAGGTCAAGGTTTCTTTATTGTCATTACATGTTTACCATATGGAACACAATGTGTACTCAGGACCAGCAGCGTGCACTAAGCAATCATCTAAAAGCCTAAAATACTCAAGTCCATTTAATACCCCTATCGATACCATATAATAAATAGTCCATAATAGTAACAGGAGTTAAAAAAATGGAGCAGCATTTTAAGACAAACAGAGCAGAGCAGCATATCGACCGGCAATGTGATTAGTTCTTTTTTACATAATTATAACCTTCAGTCACACCTGGACTAACAACACTTTTTAATTGTATGAAATGAGCAATCTTGTTGGCTTAAACTTTACATTTCTTTGAACAAACAACGTTGAGTTTTCATTTCAGGTTTCAAAGCAATAATAAGGGGAAGTGAAACAGGGTTGTGGAGAGTTTAGACTGGCAATGGAAATGCGTCTTGCATCCAAAATACGGCCGTCAAGGGCTGTGTCATCCTTACCAAAACAGCAACATTGAAGTCCTTTGCCATCGTCTTAAGAGCTCCTGCCACTTGTATCATCAAGGACATGCCTGGAGGCACAGGAAGAAGTAGAGAGGTTTGTTTGTGTACAGAATACTCTCAAAGTCCTTCAAAGGTACTTTCTAAGTAATTCAACTGCAGATATTATTGTTGTAATATTTACAGTCTTTAATATTCTTATGGTCGACTCATTTTGTTTATAGCTATGCTGGCAGCGGGGCGGGAATGGCAGTGTTGATTGGTCCACCACTATGGTACAGACTGAAAATATCTCAATAAGTATTAGATTGACTGCCATGAAATCTGGCACAGGCACTCATGGTCCTCCCAGGATTAATATTAGAACTTTGGTGATTCTAAGTTTTTATATATCACTATCAGCATGTCAAAAACTTGCTTTCTCATTACTTTGGTTTATGACCAGATACCTGCAAAACTAGCAAAAACACTTGAAGAAAAAAGACTGAAAACAATCTCAGCTGCACTTTGTGTGATAATTTGAACACATTATCACGCTTACATGCAAACCTAAGATGCTAAAGCTTTACCTGCTAATTGCTGAACATCAGTATTTCTACACTAACCTTGCCAGCGTGTTAGCACGCTGATAGCATTTTGCTCAAAAGATCTCTGTACCTACAGACATCATTAAGCTCTATATGTGAATCTGATTATTGCAGTTAGTACATGTACATAATACAAAACATGTTTAAAATGTCTATCCTTTAAGTACATCATTTAATTGGCTATCAGTGCACTCAATAATTTTAGCTGAATTTTACTGCTGATGGCAGGTTCATTTTAAACCCCCACCCCTTTTGAGCTCTTATAGTGACAATTTAATTAAATCGCTGTTTTGGAGCTTTCTAGAAACCGACTGCGAGCAATACAGTTGGATAAAGTTCACTTGGATTAAGAACTTCAATTACTGTGATTCCCAAAAGGTCAGACTTTATGCAGCTCCCAGGTTAATCAAACTTTTACTTATAACTGTCACCACAAATATGACCTTTCACTCTGGTGACGGTTTTGGCTTTAACCTGTCTGTGCAAATGTTTGTTTTCGTTTCATACTTTCTTATGACTAAAACTAACTTTGATGTCATGTTTCCAAAATGCGTAGAAACCCTGTTGTGGTGTTTATCGTACAGATTACTGACAGAAATTTGAAATTTTCAGTCTCGAGTGTACACACAGCCTCAGGTATGATAGACTAGCAGTAAAAGATATCACCTTCATTTTGTTTGCCTCCCAGTACAGGAGAGATAACAGCTGACACAGAGTCCACGATTACTGCCTTGACAGAGCCACCGCCAACAGATGCCTAATACAAAATGTGACAAAATTAGATTGCTGAAAATTTGATCCATCTTTCTTAAAGGTTCCCCGGGTGCAAGCAGAATTGTTAGTGTGTGTTTTAAGGAAAAAAATAACTGCAAACAAACCTGTTGAAGCCTGCCACTGCGAAGACTGTACAGACAGTCAAGTAAAGAGAAGACGTCAAATAAACGAAAGATGTGGATCCTCTGAAGAGCTTCCATCTATAAAAATGGCAGTTTGTTGTTCTACAGTGATTTATACTACAGAGCATTTAATATTTGTTTAAAACAACTCCTGTCAACTCACCTGCTCTTCTGTGTTACTAGTTTCAGTTTGTAGCATTTGAAGCAAGCGGCTGGCAGTCAACCCTCCTGTCGTATCGATATATATCACACTCTGTTTCAGATGGTAAGAAACGTGCACTGCTACACCAAAGCACACCTAGGACACGTGACAAGCATGCAGGAGAATGTTAAAAAACAGCCTGGATAATTTGTGTTGATTAAACAACAATTCTGAAAAGTACTGCTTGAACCATAGGAGAAGAGGTCGTTTTCAAAAGGAGGACTTTATAAGACTGAAATTATTAGTGATCGAGAGAGAAAGTAGAAAATGTTCACCTGAGATTTGCCACTTCCTGGGCCTCCTGACAGCTCTGTTATCTCTCCAGTATACAAGCCTGAATCCAGCAGTTTATCTAAGCTGCAAAAAACAAGGTACAACTCATTACTCACAACAGACATCCAATGTAACAAAACAGCAGTGATCCAACAACAACTGCAGTGGAGTAAACAACACAACAAACACCGCCACTTGAATCAGGTTCCAGATTATTCTTTAAATGTTTAACCCTTTCCTCATTTCAGTTTGTCTGATTGCTTATCAAGCAATCACTGGCTGCATGGCTCAAACTGAATCTATCAAAAATAGTTGCCTTTTTAATGTTTTTGGAAGGTTGATTGTGTGTATGCGTATGGATCAGTGTTTGCTAATTACAGTCCAGTGGGTGTTTCCATTGAAGATTTACAGTGCCAATTTAAATGCATTTCCAGCAGTGTAAAAGAAAAAAAAACACTCTTACAGAGTCATCCATCACTAGGGTCAATGGTCAGCTCTGAAGCTAGCCAACTGGTTTCTGTAGCTTGCTTTTCAATTAATAGCACTTCTTCTGTACAGCACAGTAGATCCATACCTCATAAACACAATGTAATGTACAAAAGTAAGAAGTAAAGCCTATATAATTTGCCTGTTCAAACCACTGCAGCTGTGGATTGTTACACAGAGCAGAGCAAAGTCTCATGTAAAAGCATGAGCCATGATTATGATTTTAGGTTGGGTTCCCGGTTTCTCACTTCTATAACAGAACTGAGAAGCGGGGAAAGTAACGTCAGGTGCCTAGGTTTCCTGAGATAAAGGTCTTGTCACATTCTGCAAAGATGATGTTGTGTGACTTGCAGCTGCCACAAATTAAGGCTTGGATGAGCATGGAACGCTCATGACAAAAGATGGTTTTTGACAGGTCAAAGGTACAAGCTTATGCACATGAAACTATAATTCCCAGGAAACTGTTTTGCTAATAAAGACAAAACAAACTAGACAACAAACAGAGCAGTATAACACAGATCATTTTCAGATTCTGGGTCAGTCTTGGATAAATTCATCAACTGTGGTTGATTAATTTCAAAATGATATAAGCAATAATTCAATTATTTATTTTATTTTATTGTATTTTATTCTGATAGAGGTTCTTATATGTTGCAACATAAAACAGCAATGCATAAGAGTTTTAGGTTTATTTTATCAAATCACACAGCACCAGTATGACATATTTTGAACCTCTCAAAGAAGAAGTACTACTTGCATTTATATTGTGATCATCATCAACACAGTTTGTTGTCATAATGCTTCAGCCATCTGATCTTTCAGTACTGGAATGTGTTGATTTGTTGATGCTCAGACCAGTGATCTGTGCAGTTTGTGGAATCTCATCATCCCTGCCTTCATGTGTGATGATGGATGTGGCAGGCTTACAGTTAAATCTACATAGCCAAGGTCCTCCACCTTGAAGTTTAATCATCACTGTGGTTGGTTGATTGTGGTTCTCATCACCCACAGCATGATTGTGAAGAGGAAAATTGGTGGGGACGGACATACTTGCTTTATTCCTGCCCTCTCTGACAACAGTGCAGAGACTGTTGATAAAACGTAAGGTTGTATTCTTGTAAGGGCTCAGAAAAATGAAAGCACTTGTCCTTGGAAAGCCACAGTTTGAGAATTTTTCATGGGCTGCACTCATCATTGACAACAGAAGACAGTCCTTAAAGCCAAAGGTCTTTATCTTAGTGTATGAACAGACTGAAAGAAATGAAGGGTCTCAGCTTTTGTTGTAGAGTCTTGCTTTCTTTTAGAAGAAGAGACCTTTTGAGGACCATTTTAGATTACTTTGGACAGTTATTTCATTCCCATGGCCACAATCACATCTGGATAATAATGTGATAATATAATTAATATAATAATTTTAACTAATCATGGACTTGAATTATCCTACTTAAAACTACAAAAAGTTAAAATTTTTAATTTAGTAGAAAAATCCCCCAAAATTCATCCTAATGGGGAGAATTGCTATCAAAGGTCCCTATGACGAAGACCCATCAAATAGATTGGCAGCAGTGCAGAGATATTCTTTTCTGAAGGTTTTTGACCACGCTAACACTCTTAACCAATCACAGAAGGCCACCGTCAGGGGTGGGAGCTCACAGCTGTCAATCAATATGTGAACGCACTTCAGCTCTTCTGACATACAGTAGCGGCAGGCTAGCAAGCTGTTAGCTGAGAAAGCTGCATGAAAAAGAAGGTCAAAACATGAGAGTTTTGAATAGAAAGAAGAGACCAACAATGCTGGATTTAGATCATAAAGTCATATCAGTACAGCTTTGAGCAGATAGCGAGAGTTGACAGAGAAGAGGGATTTAAGAATGGACGCTGATTTGGTATTCTTTCTGCTTGACTGGTATATTGCGACTTTATTATTTATAGTAATAGGATAAGGCTTCAAACCATTACCCTTTGTGCTTGTAGCTAAATCATGCCAGAACATGTCATTTGTACTCCCAGTGTGACTGTTACAGCAGCTGGCTAAGGATGTCTCTGTGTTGCTACTTTCAGTCAAGTTCATACACCAGCCACAGATCGGTCAGCTGCAGCTGCCAAATCAATTTGTGACTGGTGAACTACATTATTTTGATGCCCACTAGCTGAATGTGTTGTTGTCTCTACTAAGGCGGTCACTTTTTCCCTGGGAGTCTGGCTCTGGGTCACCCCGGTTTGGCACCTGCTGAAGCTGCAGTGATATTGTTTTGCTGTGCTTCTCTCTCTCTTCAGATGTAGCTACACTCAGTGTGTTTTATTCAATTTCAGATATGTTTTTGAGCAGCATGTGTCCTATATGTGATAGCCACTCAAGTTTTTCAAGTGTTTTTGTGATGCAACCATGCAAAACAGCTTCACAAAACTTTTGTGGACATGCAGGACCCACTCTTATGCCGATGTTCACAAACTGTGCTGGCTGTAAATGTGTCATGTCCACCCGTCATTAGTGGAGGTTGCTACACAGTTGTGCTGTTTTACAGCAGACAGTCGGCTCAGTAAGCCATGTTGTTTTACTGCCCACCAGCTGAATGTGTTCTAGTCTCCACTAACTTGGTGATTCTTCCCCAGGAGTCTGGCGCCGGCTATAGCTGAAGTGATACTACTTTTCTGTGGGCCGCTCTCTTCAGTTACTGCAGTGATGCAGCTACATTCAACAGAATGTTTTATTCAATTTCAGGTGTGTTTTCTAACGGCATTTGTCTTATAGCTGATAGAGTGGTGTTTTGTGACGTGACCTTTTTAGGGTGCACTCATTTCTTCCTTGCCAATGTTCACAAACTGTACTGGCTGTAAATGTGTCATATCCGCCTGTCCTGCAGTGGAAGTTGCTATACAGTTGTGCTGCGTTTACAGTCGACATGAAGCAGAACAGTCAGCCTAACGAGATACATTCTTTTAATGCACGCCAGTTTAGTTTTGCTCCAAATTGTGCCACTTTACATTCGTGAAGTGACCGGTCAGGTGGAGCGCGGAGCAGAGTGGAGCGAGCAGGGACAGAGAGTGCTAAAAATCTAGTGAGCGTTAGCATGAGACTCCTCTCCACCCAGCACGCTCTGTCCCTGCTCGCTCCACTCTGCTCCGCGCTCCACCTGACCGGCCACTGACAGTGAACGCCGTGTCCAATTTCCTCATGACAAAAGACAATCTGATATTTTCCAGGAGGTTTCTCCTTGATTTGAAGCTGGAATTTATTCACTTTAACATTCACACAGTAGAATATGCATGGCATTATAATATGATTGTGTCATTATATCTTCAAAGTATTGACAAAAATACACCAGCTGACAAACGCTATAATCATCATCATCCAACTTGATCATATGAAAAATCGCCATAGTTGCCAGGAAATCTAAGGTTTGTCTTTGAACATATCAATACGCTCAGTGGCCAAGAATAACTGAGTGCCAATTATTATTCATTATCACTTATAATACTTTTATACTGAAGTACTTGAGCAGTATGAAATACACATTGCATTAATGTGTTTTGAATAAACTGTACTAGTAAAGGCAAAAATATAGATCCTTCCTGATACAGCATGTCACAAGGCAGCTGCCATTATGTGCATAATAATGGCAACAAAGCTCATGTGCTGTCTAACCAGTTAGGTAGAGGTGAAACCTTTCTGACAATCCAGGAAAGGTGTGTCTAATACATCAAGTATAACAGTTAAAAAAAACATTTCATTATCTTTTAAATGTTTTTTGATTAATTTTTAATACAGATGACAGAAATGAGACCAAAGAGTCCTACATCCATCAAGTTCCTTTTATCCCTCTTTGGGCTCAAGACTCTCATTCACTGCGCATATCAAACAGCTGGAAGATGACAGGAAAGTGTTAAAAGGTGCTTAGAGCCTTCAAGCCTAGAAAACGTCTGCACTTAGCTGTCCTCAGTATTTTCACCATTTCATTCAGGCTGAGTTCTTTTCTTAAACAGAACTAAAACAAACATCTGTTATCTGCTATTATAATGAATAAAGTTTTCCATAACTACTGATTCTAACAGTGACCAGTAAGATCGACCGATGGAGCCGATAAAACTAGCTTCACACTCAGCATTTGCTAGTAAAGAAAACAGGAAGCATCCTTCTGCACATCAAGAGATTACAGTCTCTCAGAGCATCTACTCTTCAAAATATGTACTTTACATATTATATCCACATTCACCAGTTTAACAGCTACTATTCCAGGCTAAAACAACAGTCCTGAAATAAATAAATATAATCTTAACATCCCTGCCGCTGAGAAGCCCCCCATACAAGAAGCTGAATATTTTTGGAAGTCACTTTACGTTTTGTCCACCCAAAATATCACTGAATACTAAATATTAGAAACACCTTTCAGCATTGCACAATATAATTCAACAGCACCACAAAGTTTATAACCTTTATAAACTAGGATTTATTGCATGGCTGTTGTATTTAACTAGGTGCACCTATGTATGTTTCATCCCTCTGTCTCTGCATAAACCACACTCCACACTGACTACACAAAATGTGACACCACGGACTGCAAAGATCATCATTCATCACTTCACTTCACTTTTTTACCAGTAGAGCGCAGTGAAGACACACACAAATCACACTGGCTTTACTTCACATGGCTGATTCAGTTTCATATAACTAATCCAAAGCACTAATTTATGAAAACCACTTATAAATAAAAATGGAGACAAAAAAAAACAGCACATATGGTCAATTATGCTGAAAGAGAGTTTAGTGAGTTTAAGTGTAGAAAAAGGTACCATCCTATAAATAACACCATGTTGGTCCATTTCACACATCTGTCCTGAGCAGTCTGTGCCCTGACTAAACCGTGTCTTCCAAAAGTGAAACCCTTACCTGCTGTGCCTTGTGCTACGGCTAACTCAGTCTTGTGATACCAGCACACATCTGCATACTAATCTTTCATGGGATGTTGTATCTCTGTTTTATAGTTGATTTTAAATACTGCTGTAATACAAAGCTGTGGGAACGTTTGGTTTCTTTCAAGTTATGAAATTTAGATTTCCTGATGTACTGCAAAAATGATTTTAAGAACTTGTCAGTGGTCCTTTGTTTAGTGGAAAGCTGGAGGTCAAGTTAACACCGCTGATATATCAGAAGCCACTTCAGACTGTGTTCCCAGGCCAAATGGATCCACAAGCAAACAAGTCAACTTTAGCTAGCAAAATGTTTCCTTAGTTTAAAAACGCAGCACACAAGACTTTATTGCCCTGCTGTATTTTTACCTAGAACTACACTCCATGTGCATATTCTACTGGCACAGATCAATGCAAATTTGATTTTAAGAGTTAGCATGGTACAAGAACCGGAAGACTTCAAAATAACACTGAATAGATTTTATTTTATCATTTGATAAAATGGGTCAACGCAAAGGAATCTGGCTTCAGAACATCTTTGGTACTGTATGATACTAATGATTTTACGTGTTATCTATGACTGTGGAAAATCTGTCCTAGTTTGCAAAGCTGAAGACTGACCCCTCATTTCCACCAGATGCGGCCGCATTGTGTTCCATCTGCAATATGGTTTTAATCCGCCTTTTGAACGGCTTCATCCCCCACCAGGTGTGTCTACAGAGTGGCTGGTTGCCGTGCTGATTTTATGTATAGGCTGTTTTTTTTGTTTTGTTTTTCAGCTTGTACAATGGGTCAGCACAGGGCAAACAGACAAAGACTAGAGTTAATGGTTAAATTTATTTTAATGATTACAGTTGGGTCATCATGAAACGGATCAAAGATTTGTGGCTGTGTACTAGTTGTTAAAAATACATTCATCCTCATAATGTTTTATAGGCTATGTTTTGATGATGTGATCTGACTTGTTCATTGCCTATAACCAACTATCGCTGCCTGATTGGTTGGTCGAACCTTGTCAGAAGCATCCCAGAACTAGCATCCATCAAAAATAGACTGCATCTCTATCTTTAGCGAAGTGGTGTGGAGAGCCGCATCTGGGACGCACTGGAGACAGAACGCCACCACACCCAGTGGAATCACAGCCATTTACTAGACTGGCAGCAATCAGCTCCGGTGACTCTATCACAAAAGGAACACAATGCAGCCGCATCCAGTGGAAATGAAAGGTAATAGTTGCAAACATAAGCAAACAGTTGAAGCACAAATTAGTGTAGTATTTTTCCTTCATCAACCATCATGTTCCTCGGACTTTCTAAACACATAAAATATCGCCACTACCAGCAATCAAACATTTATCTGAAATAATATCAGGTAGCACTGGTGAGGAAGCCAGTGTTTATACAGTACTGTTAAATAAGCATTACAAAACCAAATCCTTTGCCTCTAAAACTGAACACAGGAGAAATGTTCTTCTTAATATCAAAATAGAGAACTGTCCCCTATTTGAATTTAGTGGAACCCCTTCTTTAATTGTGGGCACTGAGCCAGTCCCTGAAAGACAAAGCAGCACATTGCATGCAGAACGGTCTTTACCTGGGATTTCCAGTGGAGAGGATGGCAGTTGAGCTCAACAGTTCCTCATACAGATCTGCACCTGACACGGGGAATGCTGCGTGCTGGGCCAGCAGCACTCGGCGGATGGCAAACAGAGTCTGAAATACAAAAATTACACCATATGAGGCCTGAACAACTGGTGTATGGATCAGCCACAACACATGTACATATGCAACTCAGCCAGTGGTGCCAGGTTGCAAAGTTTACTGCCATTATGATTATCATTCAAAAGGTACAAGGCAACATTTTGGCTTGTTTTGAAGTGATTAGGGGGGTTTGTGAAATAATGTTACCTTTTCGATCACTGCTTTTTCAATTGCCTAACTTATCATGTGGTTAGAATTTGATAAATACTTAATTTAATAGCAAATAAGTACACAAGTTTATGCAGAACAATTTCTGCTGAGGCTTGTATCACTTTGTGTATTCTGAAAGCTTAATTTTGGGTAACAATCCAAACGGTTGAAGATAATGCTGGGAATATTTTTATTACTGACTCATTTTTGTTTAGTCTATGCTAAAATAATGAAAAATGTCCATGTCCTATTATCTCTTGCTCCTCTTACTCCAACTCTTATACACATCTGCATAGAGAATATTGTTTGTCCACAGGCTTTCACACATGCAAACACATAAATTACCAGTCAAAAATGTGGACACATTTTCCCATTGAACTAAAAGGGGCAGTGTGTCCAGACTTTTGACTGGCAGTGTCTTCACAAAGGAAACAGAACATCTACTCATGTAACTTTAAATATACTAATTCACTGCTATGAATATATGTGCTCAATGTTTTATTGCAGTGGTGTTTATAATGCACCTTTATTTGGCCAAGTGTGTTGCACACAAGGAATTTGTTTCCGGTACAGAACCGAGGCAGCCATCTGTGGCGCCAACTCAACTGATGGCTCTAACCATCGGGGGCAAGTTGAGGGTTCAATGTCTTGCCCAAGGACACTTCGACACATGGACTGCAGGCACCAAGATTTGAACTGTCAACCCTCCAAAACTGTACAGGTACAGTCAAATATGTCAAAAAAGCGTTTGAATTTGGGGCTGTGTCCATGAGTGTATACAATCAAGTGTAATGTAAGACATCCAGCTGCCCACCCCATCACATAAAGCCACACTTGATCATTAGTGCCCGGGCTGGCCTAGGTATCAGAGAAATATCACAGGTCAGAAATGTGTTTGGACATTTTAGTTGGTAAAAACGTTGCCATTTTTCTTCATTGCAAACCTCTAAAAATAATACAGAAAGGTATGGAAAATCCCTGTGAAGCCCACTGATGGTGTCTGAATCCCAAAAGAAACAAAAGGCCAACCAGGTCATGGCTAATACTTTTCAGAGCCCCAGTGTTTTTAATGAATAGAGCATTCAGAGGAGGTTTTAGTTCATTTGATTGAGTGTAGTTTTAACCTTATTTGACATAACAGTAGGACAACACAAGTGCATCCCCCTAGGAGCTTCCAACATGACGACATCAGTCTGCTGCTTGAAAACTCACAGTTTATTGCCCTCTGTCCAGGCTGGGCTGTGATGTTTGGTATTAAAACTGATTTGAGGTGGTAAAACAAATATTGTAGGTCCAGCTTTCTATGGAAATAGCATTTACTGCTGTTAAGCAGACCTACACGCTGATCTGGGGGCAGGGAGGATTTTCTGCCAGCATTTATGTCCAACAGCAAAAATTCATTGAGGGAAATAAGGCAAGTCTGTCCAGTCTCAATTAGTGGGAATGCTAGCACCCTGAATTTCAATGTGGGCCTCATAAGTCGGACATGTTTTTACATAAAATCACACCTTGTGCAGATTTAATTAATCTGTAGGAGGCTGTTCTAGTTAAATAAATGTGTTGGTACAGATTACCTAGCATTGACCTCTCACTGTAATGTATGCACAACGGTTCAAATCAACAGCAGGAGTCTGACAGACCAGAGGGATGCCAGAGGGCTGAACAACCTGGCCAGAAAGTCTAAGTCAGTCAGTGGGATGAACCTGAAACTGCTGCAGGCAGCGATGGGGGAAAAAACTCAAGTGGCAATTAAAAACTTAACTCCAACTATGATATGAAACTCAATGGTGGTGGTGGGGGATCTACAGTCACAGAAGAAAAATTTAATTACAAGAAGACAACATGGTATGCAAAAGGTAGGATCTTCAAAGGTGCCTCTTGTAATTTCCCCAATCCCTTAGGGTTGGCGAAACTCTTTCC